TTCAAACAAGTGACTAGCATTTTATTTTGTATACCTTGGTTTTCATTGTTTGTTGTTGCCCTTGTAGTGACATTATCTGCCTCTTCATTTCCAGTTTAACTGTTTTGGGTATGCTGAAGACACCTTCCGAAGATATAAGATGGTCGCACATTATCGTGAATTGATTGGAGATAGGTTTGTACACTACTGAACCTTGGCTTAGGAGTCCATATGTTAAGCGTTCGAACACAAGACTAAGTGACCTGGGTTCGATTCTTGATGGCGGGGTGGTGGTTGGGCTCTGCTAAGGAGTTCCATACTATCACAGATCATCTACCCAGTGCCCTTAGGTTTCCAATATTTGTCTCGTTCTCTAAGCCATCCGGTTTAATCTTGAAGATTTACCTCTTTTGTACGTATAGTTCTTGCTTGAGTTCATAGATAGTAAGAGCTTTGGTTATGTTCAGGTGTTGAATACGAAGATATCTAGATAAATTTGAACGAATCATATTTCCACCTTAAAATCAAATTGTGGATCCGTAGAATGATTACAATTGATTAATGGTCAAGTATGGAACTCTTAACTGCTTTCCTCTCCCCTTATAAAATAACACTAGGATATGTTCCCGTATCTATGTTGAAAGTGATCACTGCTAAGGTCAATGTACCTTGCTCCACAAAAGCAGGTAACTGGTAGATGTACATAGACGCGATCAGACGATCCCTTCGATGAAATCCATTTTTTAAACTTCTTTCTTTTAAAACGTACATTCGATTACTTCCATATAAATAAATTTATTCTTTTTCTCTGTTTCCTCTCCCTCTCTCCCCCCCCCACACACACACTGGAATGATTTCCAATACATTACCAAGATTGATCTTCAAGATATAATGAATTCATATGAATGATTTATGGTAAATCATTATTGAATGCAGTAATAGATGATACATCTGGTGATTATCGTCGAACATTATGTGTACTACTCGGTGAAACATATAATCAATAATTGTTTCATTAAAACAAAACAATATATTAAATCATTTGATTTTGTCATTATTTATTTTATCATATTTAAACATATTATTACAAACTTGTGACCTTGTGTTGATTGATTTAAACAGAGAAATATGGATACAAAGTAGGCGCCAAGTATATATATATGCGCTACACTTCGTTATTCAGTTTGTGTGTATGAGGGGGGAAGGGTTGGAATACTGCCCAGATCCACTGCCAGAGTCATTCATCTAGAGATCTAATCCAAATGACAGTGTAGTAATATTAAGGGATACAATCTCATGGTAGCCAGTAACTAACAATAGGTTCATACGCGATTTGTTCCCTCAGGATCTTGTAGTCTATGTGCACCATTGATTTAGAATGAGGGTTTTCTAACTATCCTAGGTGAATCCTCCGTATACTTGTGCTCTATTAATATCTATATGACGTAATGATACCGCCAGTTAGAGAACAGTGACTTATCAAACGGACCAATGACGCATAAACCTGTACGAGCAGTCTAGAGTCCTTATTGGTCCTTCTTTCTTCCTAGCCCTGCCTGTTGAGTTCAGAAAACCAATCCAAGCCTATGCAATATAAATGAAGTATTCCAAACATACAAGCCAAACAGACTACATCGTACCACACAATAGGGAGCAATATTTGTACAAGATCTAGCCAAAAGTGGCTGTGAATATAGGATAATAATTGATAAACTGGGCATAACTCAAGAACGGTAAATCATATAATAATAGTCTTTAGGTCAAAATAATGCTTATAATAATAGGAACGTGAATAAGTATAGTTTAGTTACTTAAGAATTATACAATAAAAAGGTATAGGATTAGTCCATAAATAGATCACAACAGTTACCATTCATTATTATTCTCAACGGGATATAACAAACATAAATAATGGTACAAGCAGGCGCCAAAAATATATATGCGCTACACTTTGTCATTCGATTTGTGTGAGAGCTGGAATACTGCACGGATATCCAAACCGAAGCAGGTGGTTATCTTAGGAGGTCAAACCTCCAGCCTTCCACTTAGAGGTCTAATCCACATGACAGTGGAACAACATCAAGAGATGTAGTCTTATCGTAACCGGTGGCCAACAATAAGTTCATGCTCCATTTGTTCCTTCAGGATCCAGAAGTCCATGTGCACCATTAGTTTGGAATGAGAGTTTTCCAACTCCATTAATTTGATCCTCCATAACCACCTACCCTCGTTAAAGCACCAGACATTTGCTTTTCGTCCTCTCAATGTCGCAACCAACACTCCAGAAGTGAGAAGGCAGTGAGTAGGACTTCCTTGGCAGTGGTTGTATGCACGTGGACATGTGTGAGCATTTCGAGAGAGGAAGTTAATTCTCTCCACCCTCGACCATACCAGGGCATTAAGGGGGCTATTAGCATTGTAAGTAAATCACAGATTAGCAATTATTCTTCTACACCAATAAAATCTGCAAAATTATAAAACTTTTATCCTGTCGAGTTCCAGACTTCTTATGTCGACTTCATTTCGAATGGAAGATAATGTATATGGTTCATGATGTATCGGTAGCAAAAATAGACAAAGAATTGTTATGTAAACTGGAACCGTTGTCAAAAATCAATTATAGTTTCCAGACCATCGAAAAACCTAACTAACACTGTATAAAGATTTCGCCATTCTTAATAGTACAGTCTATTTTTAGTCCACTTTGAATGGGAATCAAAAACTACCAAGTAATCAATCAAGGTGATCACGAGTGTTAAGCGAAGTACGAGGGCGGTTGTCACGTCCCGAAAACAGTTTACTCTCAAGCTTTAAGTTGGTCGCTCTTCATGTTGCGTTTCTCCAACTGACACTAATCTAGCATGGTAGCACCTGAAGTAACGTATTCCAACCAATGTGATTCGATCAGGTTGACACGGCGTGTAAGCTCAACGCCACCACATCAGATTAGCAATTAAGTTCGAGACACTATACAGTAAAGCATAACTGAGTATTGTAAAACACATGTTCACTACGAGCTACATGCAAACAGGACATGCAGAAGGTTGTTTTCGCTACCTAATCGAAATGGAATCATCCGTTTACGGAATGGGGCTTGGAAATCAGTTTTGCAGTTAACATCTTCAACTCCTGATAGCCAATTTTATGTTGGCTGAAAGCAAATAATCAAAGGTTTGACTTTGAAGCATTTAGACAATTATCCCAGATACACTAACTCAAAATGCTGAAATAAAAATTGTAGTTTGTTATAAGTTAAGTTATTGAGCATTTATGAACTATTCTCTACATTTTACATGTCTTAGCGTGTAACTTCGCCAACATATCACTACAAGAAGCATTGTACTACAATGTCAAAATAGTAGACTATTTCTCAATATCACTATTCCATTAGGATTAAGAAAATGACTGGAACACGGTGACAAAGCATTTTGATAGTTGAATTCAACTGTTCAATGATCTTGAACACTAAAAGCGTCTGTCGACATTACCACCCAGTGTTCAAACTTGGTAGCCGGATGAATTTGAGTGACTTATTTAAAATTGAACACACTGAAAGAAGTGTCTTGCGTTTCCAGAACCATAAGTTAGCTCCTTATGTTCTATTTATCCGGATAGTTTTTCAGTGTAGTCGTAGAGTATCTGATGTGTGTGTAGTGACTTTCTTCATATCATCCGTAAGGAAATCCAGAATGACATTATCAACTTCATTACTTAAAATCCCGCCTGGAATATAGTCGTCTTGGTTTGGTCGCTCCTAAGTTTCCTCCAACTTATTTCCCTACAGCAGATAACATTGTCTGTCGAGGTAGGTGATGATTGGACATACGTAACACATGTTCCAGCCAGTCGATGAACAGCCATAACAGACATCAATCGTAATGAACTTACTTTCAATATTCTGACCTATTTCTACATCCTTAATCTAGGATATATTCACTGATTTTTTCGACCGATTCGGCAATAAACGTAGTTTTCGACTTGAATTTCAGTCAACAAGTATTCACTTGTACATCTGATACAGCTACATTTGACCAAGTGATTTATAAGAAGATAGGATTTCGTCAAAATACCAATTACGAAATTGTTTAGTTATTTTATTATCAGGCCATCCATTTAGCATCTAAACAATAACACATGTAGAACGAATGTTTCTGAAGCAATTCATTTATTTATTCTGCTTAGTGTTTTCTAGCAAGATTGTTTTATACGGGATGGCGTTGCTGACCCCATGCCCAGCCCGGGCCGGCAGTAAACCTAAAAGAGCTACAGGCGGTGTTGGCCAGATACCATCAGCAATAGCCTACTGTGGGAGAGAACAAACCAGCTTCCAGATGAAGAGGAAATTAGGAAACACGCTAGAGGTGAATAGGACATACATTACGGAAATTATCAAATCACATCACGAAACAAGTGCTAACTTGGAATCCCGAAGGGAAAAGAGAAAGACCAGGGAATATATTATGTCGGGAATTAGAAGTAGACATTAAAGGAACGAATACAACTGAAAAGGATTGCTCAGAGAAGAGCTGGGTGGAGAATGCTGATGGGTGGCCTATGCTCCATAATAAGGAGTAACAGGCATAAGTAATTTGTGTGTTCAACAACTCTTCAGACCTCTGATTTAATCCTTCTATACGATGAAATTAACCTTATCATGCGCAGATACATACGCAAGACAGTAGAGAATATAACTATTATTCATGATAAATCTTATTAGTATAGGGATAATAAGCATGTGCTCACTAGTGACTAGTTTCAAGATGAATTTCCTGGAGTTCTAGTGAGAAGCTGCGACCAGTGGAGTTCAATCCATGTCGACTGTGAGACAGTTATACATCTCAGACAATGAATGAAGGTTTGTGCAAGATCATGAAGTTAACATTGGATGTTTAAAATATAATTGACATGTTTATTTCTTACAAAGATGGTAGAATAATATACGTTATTAGTTTTTTCTTTTTGTTATAATAGTTTCAAGAAAGACTAGCTGTTCCATTCCATTCAAGAAAACCAATTGTCATTTACAAAAGACCAAGTTTATGCTCTATCATTAATTGGGGCATTCCAACAGATTCAGAATCTTCCGCAGCTGAAAAACAAAAAGAAGGATGGTAATAAAGTAACGATATAAGTTATACATTTGATCGATTACAAATGTATGTAGAGAGATTGACAGTGACTAAAGAATTACTGGGAAAAAGCAACAGTAGCACATTATAGTCCATCATCTTACGATAATTTTAAGTTTTCCAGTAAACGTTTTGTTCCGGAGACCAACAGGTTTAACTTCAAAACATGAAAGAAACCCCGAAGGTCGAGAGGAAGCATGTTGCCAAATGATTTTGAAATTGACGAGATAGTTTTCATGTTTCACTCTTTATAATAGTTAATAGTTCGCTTCAATAAACACTGAAATGTGATGGGAATTTTTTAAAACTAGATTTTACGAAAACTCATCAGCCATTGCAGACAATGGATTGTGGAAACACTGAGAATTATGCCCCTGAATGTCCTCGTACGGTCGAGAGTGGAGAGAAATGGAATTGAGGAAGAAAAGCGAATGTTCGATGTTTTAACAAGGTCGGTGGATACGGAGGACTTACCAAGCACAGTTGGAAAACCCTCATTCCAAACTAATGGTGTACATGAACTCCAGGATCTTAAAGGAACAAATGGAGCATGAACCAACTGTTGGTCACTGGCTACCATGAGATTACATCTCTTGACGTTACTTTACTGTCTTGTGGATTAAACTCTAAGTGAAATGCTCTGGGAGTGGTCTACTAAAAAAACCACAAGCTTTAGTTTGGGCATCTGGGTAATATTCTAACCCCTCCTTCCTACACACACAAATCGAATGACGAAGTGTAGTGCATATATATTTGGCGCCTGCTTGTACCAATATTTGTGTTTAAAAATTAATGTCATAAACACCATACACTCATCAGACAATAATACAAATCCTTTAGTTGAATATCAATTGGTTGGTCACTACTTCAACATAATTTCTCTTTTAGTCAGGTATAAATGAGTGCTGGAGAAATGTTAAGTGTTCATATCAGTCAGTCAGTAACAACGTAAAACGTCGTACGTACGTACATCAGTTCGAGTTGCCATACCACATTAGCACAGAGATGCAGTTGTCGACTCAAATCCCGTAGTGGTAGAGGTAGTAAAAATATAAGCAGTAATCGGAAAGATCAAGGTCTGAAGATTTTATTCAAAGAGTATAATCCAGTGAAATAAATTTGGAAAGAGAGAAAAGAAAGGGACATGAAGAATTGAGAAGATTAGAATTTGAGAGAACACAAAGAGTGGATGCACCTGCACCATTGCAAATGATTTTGAGCCATGTCGTTCAAGGTCGGTAACCATCGATTGCTATCGCCTCGTGGATCCCAACCAGGTGATTAGTCTACACTTAACAACATGGCTCAGTCCACTTATCAGTGACATCATGGATTTGTGCCATGTTTTGGTCTCGCCGTCCCTAGATTTCTTCCAACCTACTCCTACACCAAAAAACATAGCAAGTCGGAGCAGTCGGTGGTTGAGCATAAGTAGTACATGTCCCAGCCATCTCAACTGAAGTTCAACTAATTCACCAATTGATTCGCCATCCTTACTGTTGTAACGTGAAGGTGATGCAGACTGGAGGTTAGCGAATTACCGATCGATCCAAAGACGCATCAGACGGGTAAGGACGGCCTGAAGTTCTGATTGACCCCGCTTCCCTGTTTAGCCCAGCCAGTTGAGTCCAGAACGCAAGTCTCAGCCTCTGAGATATGAATCAATATATTTCAAACATACTCTGTTTATATACCAATCAAGCAGACCACATCGTACCATAAAATAGAAAACAACATTTGTACAATATTTGACAAGTGAAATAAACATTGACCAATAGGAAATGTCCATTTAAAGTTCAAGGACACCATTAGACTTATCAGGATAATTTTCAGAATATCCCAACACCTCCCTTTTTTGAAGATCCGGAGTTGATATCCGGATTTTGAAAATTTTCCGCGTCCATCCTCCCCCGCGAAATAATGTCGGGTCCTCATAAACCCAAATTACAATTAATTTGACTGCATTTAAAACATATTGAACAGGGAATCCAGTAAGACTGACCAGATAGTGAGGATAAACGCCATTCAATTCGAAGTCATCAGAGTTTGGATCTTCTGGAACATTGTCATCGAATTTCTTGAAAATCTCATTAGTAGGTAATTGATCACTGGGATAATCAGCGTGCGACAAAACTGCACCAGGTTCTTGACTATTATTTGATGCATTTGACATATTTTCTGGCAAAACGAGGGGATCTTCTTGTGAGCTGGATACCTCATTGTCTGTACATGTTCCGGGGACAATGGGATTTGAACCCACGACAGGGCATGTTTTTGAATTGGATATTTCTGGACCACTGGGCGGATCATGAATGGCTGCTGTGTCGTTTGAAATACGATTTTTCGAGGATTTATGAAGGCTGTAATCATTTTCCAGCTCACTGTGCAATTGAGAAATCAACCTATCTACTTTCGTCGTATCTCCAAAGTATGGGTGATTCAGCAGCTGCGTGCGGAATTTGACTAAGAACTCCAAATGTCGTTCGAGTAGCAGTGACGGGGTACAGAAAAATTTCCGAACCCTCAATCTTCAAGGTCAGTCTATAATTGGACGAAACTCAGTCTAATTATTTCGACCAATCAGTATCCAGACTGTCATCAGTGACCTTGAACGACACTGGTCATTATTCATACAGTAATTTTGATTGCCGGTGCTGATTAAAAAAAGACTCTCCCTCCCGATCAATTACAGCTGCTGATTGCAGGCTCCATGAATCCTCGAAAAATCGTATTTCAAACGACACAGCAGCCATTCATGATCCGCCCAGTGGTCCAGAAATATCCAATTCAAAAACATGCCCTGTCGTGGGTTCAAATCCCATTGTCCCCGGAACATGTACAGACAATGAGGTATCCAGCTCACAAGAAGATCCCCTCGTTTTGCCAGAAAATATGTCAAATGCATCAAATAATAGTCAAGAACCTGGTGCAGTTTTGTCGCACGCTGATTATCCCAGTGATCAATTACCTACTAATGAGATTTTCAAGAAATTCGATGACAATGTTCCAGAAGATCCAAACTCTGATGACTTCGAATTGAATAGCGTTTATCCTCACTATCTGGTCAGTCTTACTGGATTCCCTGTTCAATATGTTTTAAATGCAGTCAAATTAATTGTAATTTGGGTTTATGAGGACCCGACATTATTTCGCGTAGGGGGAGGATGGACGCGGAAAATTTTAAAATCCGGATATCAACTCCGGATCTTCAAAAAAGGGAGGTGTTGGGATATTCAGAAAAATATTCCAACACTTACCTAGTACCAGTTTCTTAACAACTGCATTACTAACCCGGTGGTCCCAGGATATACGAGCAATGCTTTGAAGACACCGATGATCGAATAATAGTAACGTAGGAATATACTCTTACCGATCATGACTGTTCATATACATTAATTAGTTCGTCAATTCGAAACATTAGAGTGACCAAAGAATAAATACAGTTGTGATATGAAATAAATGGAAGACAATGTCAATTTCATACAGTAATAACATATATGAAGGTTAGAAACACCAGTAGATTTCCATTGTATCAATAGTGGTATCGATGACATTTGGAAAAACAAAAGACAAATCAACATGTTACCAAACAAAATCTACTTACGATTAATAAAGTCAGCTACATCAATCTCATCTAAACTTCCATTTAGCTGACTAGCCAAAGGATGATAAGAATATAAACCAGGTAGACGAGGTTGAATACGTTGCATTATACGTTGTTCCATAGATAAACGTAATGGTGCATGTAAACCTTGAGCAGAAGCTAAAACTCTCATTCTATTAGCTTTTTCAGCTGCTTTACCAAATTTTGCAAGAGATTCAGCTACCGGATGTGGAAAGTTAGTTGAATCTGCCACTTTAGATCCTGGAATTGCAGCCAATGATGATGCTTGTTCACTTGACCATACAGTAGAACCAATTACATCACCTAAACTGTTATAGACATATAAATAAAAAACACCAAAACAGATGCAAAGTTACATGCCAATCATTTGCAATTGAGTAAATGTTCGTTAAGTTTCAAAAAAATTGTTATGCAATAATAAATAATAAGAAATCTGTTTTAAAGATTATTTCCTCAGTTTGAGGATTAAAACAGTGCTCAAAACTGGTTGATAAAACATTTTTTACTTAAGAAAAAGTACAGTATATTAGTAGATTTCCAGAAAGAACTTTTATTAGGTGACCCAAGTATTTATTTCTCAGCACAGATGCAATTGCCCAAATGCCCTGGTACGGTCGTGAGTGAGAGAGTCATTTCTCCCACTCCAAATGCTCTCTCACACGGCCACGTGCATACAACCACTGAGAGAGAAGTCCTCACTGCCTTCTCGCGGCATTAATGTTGTTTACGAAACTGAGAAAACGAAAGGCGAACGTCTGGCAGGGGGCTTAAACAGGGTTGGTGCATATGGAGGATTCACCAAAGGCAGTTGGAAAACCCTCATTCCAAGCCAATGGTGTACATGGGTTCCAGGATCGAACAAATGGCGTATGAACCAATCGTTGGTGACCGGGTACCATGGGAATGCATCTCCTGACGTTGCTCCACTGCCTTTAGATCAGACCTTCAGGTCGAAGGCTCTAAATGTGGCCCCCTAAGAAAACCACGTGCTTCGATTTGGGCACACGGGCAGTATCACAGCCCTCACACAAATCAAATGAGATTTATGTGGCACATACGTATCTGGTGCCCCCTTGTACCAATATTTATATGTTCAAATAAATAAATAAAAATAAACAGATGTAATTAATTTAGAACTACATAGATTTTAAATGTATTATGGTGTATGCTACTGATGTCAATAGATATAAGTAGTAAGTATCATCAATCGAAAGTGAAATGTCTGGTGGCAGAATATTAAAAAGAACGAAGAGAAGAGAATGAGAGCGGTAAAAGATTGATATGGAGACGAAAAAACAATGAAGTCTTAGACGATTGATTGATACTTGCTAAAAAGGAACAGTCAAGTTTGAGACAATTGATTGAGACTTTGCAAATAAAGTATTTACTTTATGATTCTCAGATCTTACTAAGATGTTTTGTAATTTTGTATTCCTATACATTTGATCGACTCCACTTGTGTTCTCGTTCACTACAGTATGACTTGGAGAAGTATATACCAATTTTTAAATAGTTACTCCATGAAATCTATCCTCATTAGACATTTTACAGACGCAACATGTAGTTTTATCCTTTTATTTCCAAGGTTTTATCATTTACCACAAGTCATAGTACTTGAAATAAATAAGCTAGATCAAATAATAGATAATTCGTATGTATTGTTTGCTTGGATCTTTCCATCGATATTTAGGACTGTGATTGATTAATCTCTTTTGGTATTTGTGTATCCTGTGTGGATTGTCTTGATATTTTCACTTGGTCACAAGCATAATAAGCATAAATGGATGGTGGTTAGCAATGGGATCCAGGACACGCATTTCGTTCTGTTTGGAACTATTCAGATAGATGTACCTACATCTCAGAGTCGATGCTCACCCCGTGACTCAAGTAACCAATACAAACGAATTAAACTTCACCTCATTGCACAAGTCAGTGGTTACCTGAACTTAGTAGCTAAGGGGATGAGCTGAAGCAAACGGTACTGGGTTAGAGTTATGGAGTGGACATCAACTCTAGGATGTAGGCACATTTGGCTAAAAAGTTCCAAATAGGACAAGAAGCGCGTCCTTGATTTCATTGCTAGCAACCATCCCTCTCTCCTTATGAACAACAGATAAGTTATAGTCATCAAACAATACAATTAATCGTGAGTCACTCAACTTATAATTAGTAAACGGATGCGGATACTTTTGGCAAATAAGAAATATTCGGTTTTTACTCCAATAATTTAATAGCATACAAAACATACAAGGAGTCTTTTGAATTACTTCAGATACATCGTTTATGGTTACCATCTTATTGATTTTCACTAGCTATGTTGGTGTGAGATGTGGTTAAATGGACCGATGAGCACTTTTTTCCCATGTTCCAGGTTGACACTAACTCACAGATGCCATGGGTTGTGTTCGCAATAAATGTACACTACCACATAGAGTGGATAAGAGTCGAAATTCTGAAGACTACTATATTATCTTAGGTTATACGCAACAGTTACTGATTCACAAACTAGGGTCCTACTATAAACACATTCACCACAACCTAATGACAAGGGTGTATACACACTGTCTTTCCTCAAACGATGAAATTAAAATTGCTTTATATCTTTCCTTCCACGAACTAATTCTTTTTTCTTGTACTATGTCCTAATACACAATCTTTATATATTATCACCACTGAATTAACGACGTCTATGAATTTGGTGTTCATCTTGCTGTGCTCTTGAGGTGTGGCAACTTGGACCGATACATATATGTGACTGGTCCTACATTGTAGCTGACTGACTGAAAAATCTACTATACATTAAGAAATTGAAGCCAATGTAAATTTCAAGTTGTAGCAATTTAGTCTACACTCCAAAACAGGGTAACTTTGGTTGAATTCATCTTTTCGAAATCGCAAACATCAGTTTTTTTAGAGTACTTATGCAGATGTAATTTAATGATTAAAGTCACTTAAATTTGATGAGTCACAGGTTAATGCTGAAAAATGATGTACCTACGTTGGTCTCATCAGATGTAATGTACAAATAACAATGGACATAACTAACAACTTAGTATACAGATAAACAAGACGTTTTTGAAATTAGACTGCTACCAAGTCATGCGGCTCTTTGAGGTGAATTCACATATTGTCCCCCTGTGCTCCAATGAAAATCAATATAGTATGGAATATTACAACTTATTTAGAAAACGACGTACCCTGTGTACATTACTGGACGAACAGCGAATTCAGGATGCAGCATTTTGTTTCCTTCTGACATCTTTGAAGTCTTCTAAAATGAAAACAAAACTCAGTGATTTATGATAGGATTCATTTCAAGACCAAAGAAATTAGACAAATATTGAAAGACAAGAAGTACTGTTATCCTTATGTTTTCGACAGTAAACATGGATAAGTTACAAGTTAAAGTAAAACCTGAAAAAATTACGTTTTTTACTTGTACATATAAGCGAACAGTCTATCCTAACACATACTATTTATTCAGTGATTATACAATCCTTGAGTTCTTTCCCGTAAGTCTCCTTGACTAAATTCTGATCTTTTGTCAGCAACTAATCTGTTTGGGGTTTTTCTGTCCTTACCTCATCTCGTTGTGTCGCCCACATGTTCAGTCGCACATGACACCACTCTGAACGGTGATTGAAGCCACAATAAGAGGTGGGGATGGGAAACCCTCAAACTTAATAATTTGCTGAGAAATGATCATCTAGTCAAGGATTTCTACCTCATCATTTCCTCGTCCTATATTATTCCTACACTGGTCTTCCCACACTGTCTGCATTACCAACCAATTATTTACTTATTTATTTCTTGAAAAAATTGTCTTCTCTTGCATTCAGACTTTCTTTATATTGCTATTTATAATGCACCCAATCAACCTCCTGCCTGTTAATTTGATAGCTGCTCATATCCAGAATCCCCACTGCCCTGAGACAAACGCACTTATTATCAAAGTAATCAGAATTAGTTTGATCGAGTGGCTAGACTAACGCGTTTTCAATACCACCGAAGACCTGGAACCATACAGAAACAACAAGTGATGACAAAGGAATCAACCAACTCATACAAGCACGTAACAAAGATATTAGATATGCCGCATCCATATGGTTTAGACGAATGCAGGGATTAGATGGAAACCAAGAGTAGACTGCTCCATAGTAAAGTTATAACATTCGACCTACAGGAAAAAGCTGTTTAAATCAAACCTAGCCACTTTATATTTTAACACCTTTATAACTATCTGAAAACCCCTCCCATTTATCACTAGTGAGACCAATAGATGTTATAATATAGATACGCAAACTTGGGCATGGTTACAAAGGAAAAGCACGCAAAGAAGAAACATATTACAGAGAACTCTAAAGTATGGGTCGATGGTTTCAACTACAAAACCCACTTATCAACCCAAAACAAACCATGTAGGAGCAAAGCCTCAACGTTCCAGATTTGATTAAGGAACAAAATGAAGTCGATGATTGGTTTACAGCAGCATCTTGAGAATTAGGGGAAAAAGTGAGACCTGTATGTCCGTTGCCAAACCGGACTGTAGTGATGAGAAGAGTTTAAGAAACAAACGATCAAAGCTTATCAAAACAGATGTCACAGGAAATTCAGTCCTTTGAAAAGGAACTATAAGCCGAGTCTGAAAACGAAGCAAGCCGTATTAAATCTTTGATAAGCAAGGCATTACCGGAAACAGTAACAGGAAATAGCTTTCATAAGCTTTACAGAATAGGACCAGAAGTGGATTCCAAAAGTACGCAGGCAAGCAGCCTCTTAAAAATTACCTTCACTACTGCTAAGAAAAGAAGCATTATATTGACTGGATCCAGAATATGTCTGTACGTATCTCAACCTGGCTGATTGTACTGAGACGATTAACAGAGGCAGAAATAAACGAGCGCCGCCTGGACAGTGAGAAAAACTTGTACCCCACAGCAGATTAAGTGTGACGATTTTAATATATAGATTACTAAGAAATAATTTTGAACCTGATTTGTCTTCTTCCAACAAGATCAGTACAACTCACAAAACAAAAACCAATAACGGACAAAATACCCATGGCATGCAGGTTTTACACCAAGCCATCAATTTTTGGAACCTGTCACTCAAATAAATTGCGTCTTCACCTTTAATTGACTCGTTCAAGAAAAGACATGACACTCAGTAGCTTACAAAAAAAGGACTAATAAGTAGTAGACCTTCCGTCCTCAATGCACAAATCCGGGTGTGAATAAATGGATATCAAGTAGATTGAGGATTTTCGCAGACAGATTTGAAGTGGTTTCGACTAAGAACAAGAGAGTATGACTAATATCAACCGAACACATCACAATAATTAATGACCACGATTTTAGACACTTACAAAGCAAACGTTCGAAATCCGGGAGTGCCGAAAATACCTCGGTGTCCAATTCCAAACTCAGTAAAGCTATTTTAAACTTTATCTGATAGAACCAGAAGGGTGTTATCTCCGCACTAGTTCAGCATTTCGGGTCTCTCCATTAGCTTAAAGTTTTCCTAAGTGCACCGACAGAAACAGCTATAACAGCATATTGTGTAGTAAGCTTTTTGATTTGTATGTTAATGAAGATCTAACTATATTTGAATAGATCAAAGGCTTGTCAGCTAACTAAGTCATTGACACAACTACTAGCTGCCCCGCGCCAACTTGTTGCGTATAAAACAGATATATTTACCTCACAACTAAATGCCTTATTTCGTATTTTAAATCTGTTATAACAACGCAACATTATTTTATTCTGGTTACTTGACGTCGACTTCTCACTTGTGCCTTGCCGAATTTCTAGGCTAGTTAGAATTTTTCGTAATTAGTAAAATTATTGAAATCCACATCTCAGGTCATTCCTCAACAGATTTTAGTGGAAGAGCGTATAATTGGTCAAGGAATCTTCTACATCCTGAAACACCTATTTCATTTCCACCCGAAAAGCTAAAGAGATCATCAATAGATCATTTTCACGTAACATCATTCAAAACATTTGAAAGACTACAGTTCAGCAAAGTAGTTCGTGCTCATGCAGATGCAACACACATTCAGGGTTTGACAACACTTTCGTTCTTAACATCCTTATAATCAAAGGATACCAGCACACCCAGGTCCGATGTCAAGGGTGAATGAGTGTAAAGACATATTTGGAAGATATTCGATGTACTGAGAAGAGTTTGATTTATGCTGGCTGGTAGTTGGTTCGGATGAATAGCACTTCGTACCCGCCCATGGTTTGGTACTGATGCACGACTGAGTGCCTTCGACTGGACTGTCCAGTAATATAATGGGGATAACATAGACATCAAAGGCCTGTAGTGACTCACATTTATCATGAGAACACGACTGGTTTGATAAAAACAATTATTATTATAACCAACTGCACCAGTGCTTGTTTTAATGTGCTTTTGTTTGACTGTGCTAATGACAGCTATATTGTGCTTCCATTCTTATTCCCACACTTTGGTTGTGACTTCGCGCGAATTCGGTTACGTTCTGTAACCAAGCTTGTATCCTGGCACGATCTCGGTATCCTTTCGATACCATGAGATCGCCAGCAAATATATCTCGATATGGTTCATTAATTGTCTTCTGATATTTGGCTTCTCGGGGATTTTATGGATCTATTTGGTTGCGTCCAACCTTCGCCTTCTGATTTATTTGGCACGTGTTTCTTGGTAGCGGTGTTCATAGTTAACCTCAACTCGACACCACGCTACAGGCCTACCGTGCTATCTGTTTCAGGGATTGATCGACCAGTACACTTACTGAAATTGATTTCATACTACTGCTTCAAAAGCACAAGCTTTAGTGCGACTCCCATGAACGATTGCATATCAACTTCCTGCCTGCATGATTAGTCATGTCACTGGTCCTTAACTAGAGAAGTGGCTTATATGAATGCCTTCTTGCACTCTTCAGGTAACGTGTTCTCTGCTTCAATCATGATCACGTTGACATTCTTTGTGGTGCGTTCACGAAACAGCATGATGTTTTGTTATCGAACATGAATAAATCTTCTACACTGCAGAAGTCTCTCACTTTTAACAGGAACTACTCCGACTCATCGAAGCATGTGAATTATTCAGAAAACTCTTTTAATTGTCCTTTAGTATGAATTCTGTATTTCACGTAGTAAACTGAATCTTCATAGTTCATTTTGGTCTCGTTATCCACGTTCCCATAAGTGTGAAGAAACTGGATAGTTCACCATAAGGACACTGAATCTTTTTTGATTAGAATCAGTTCATTAGGACAGGAGGATTAACTCGTGACTTATTGCAACATCCAGTAGCAACTCACATTTAAAGCGAAAATTGAATACTCACACATGCAAGGTTTATCCGTTTACTGTTGAAACTGGTAGCATATAGTCAATTATTTCCGCGGGAAATTTGTTATTTCTTTATGATGATATTCATTTGAAACCTACAAGAAGTACAATAACTGGTATCACTGACCATCAGTTACGAATCACTAGTATAGTTGGCATTCCATTGAGGAAATCAAAGATCTGGTATTAAGATGTGAATCCATTAAAAGGGAGATAAAACATTTGGAACTTCTAGTGATTACCACCTGAAACTAAATACTCGGCTATCGCAACACGGTTGTACCACTTAACAAGCTAAGGACGCTTTTTCACTTTTCTAAGACAGACCAGAAAGATGAGTACTCGTTAATTCCATTGTATTAAACCTGTTCTATCCTAACGAGGAATAGATGAATGGTAACTGCTGGAAATTATTTATGAACTATTATTACATATATCCTCACTGGATAACTATTAAGTATCTAGATTATATGTATATTTCATGTTCCTCTTATCGTAAGCTTTAATTTGACCTATCGGCTACTGTTGTACGATCTATCTCAACAGAGTCGCACCGCTAAAGAAACTGAAGATACTCCATATTAATTGTTAGGGTCAAGGCAATAATCTAGAATATACATGAAAGGTGGCAATTCACAAATTCCACTGGATGAAATCCCGAGTGAACTAACATCTATTATTGCCCCATTCGGGCTGTACAGATACAAGTTCGGGCCGTTCGGGCTAAATGTTTTCCTTGAGATATTTCAGAAGGGTAAAAATCAGATAATTACAGGTTCCAGTGGTATCTAAATAAATAAAGGTGCTACCAAAGCTCATGTTGGTAATATTATGTCGCATAAAGAACAACTTTTAAACTTGTTCAGAGGCTTCTGTGATACAAATGTGGACGAAAATCCACTCAAATGTCAGTTTCAACTTCATTCGGTCAACTGTGTGGGCTGTGCTGTAGATGCTGATGGTTTTATATTTGATATGATTCAAGTACAACCACCTAAGAATATCTCACCACTAAGATTGTACATTGATCTCATTCAATTCTATTTCAGATTATTATTAAGTTTGCACAAATATTATCATCATCTCTCTAATGTGTCTCTAGTAAAGAATTTGTATGAGAGCAAAAGCACTAGGAAGCATTAAGGGAT